GAGCTGCTATAATGGGGGATACATGATCCCTGTAACCAGGCCCAATCAGCAATTTGGCTGGTGCATTTTGGACCCATTGAAGTTTCTGGGCATTTTCCATAGGAAGCCCCGCATAGAGCACATTACAGTAAGCCAGCCAGGATGGCATGTGTCACCATGGTGAGTTCAGATCTCTCAAGGTATAGGTACTACAGATGGCACACTAGTTTTAATTGTGCAGATGCCCCACTGCCAAAACCTGGGCATCCAGGCTCGGAGATTCTATGTTAAGTACTCAAAGTTTGCTTTGATCCTTTCATAGGCTGAAACCCTGTTCCTTAGAGTAAGTCAAATTATCAGCATGATCCTCCCTGGTGCGATTCTCCATCTGCAAGTCGAATCTAAATTTTGCTGCCAGAGAAGTCTGTAACTCGAAAAGTCTGTAAGTCAAGCCGTCTGTAAGGTGAGGGTCCACTGTAAGTCAAATTTTCAGCATGATCCTCCCTGGTAAACAAAGCAGTCCCTCTGTACTTCTTGAGGTACATTCACACAGGAACCAAGCCTGTGTGTGTGTGTGTGTTCCTGAGAATCGTCGTAGGGACAATTTGTTTATTTGGGAAGGATGGGTAAAAAGTTACCGTATTTGCTGGCGTACAAGATGACTTTTTGGCCCTGAAAAACATGCCTCCAAGTGGGGGGGGGGTCGTCTTATACGCCCAGTCGCTTTATACGCTGGCAAATACAGTACAATTGACACTAAGCAATAGAATTTCAGCCACAGTATGCTAATTTTTGGTAAGACTTCAATGAATAGCTTTTACTTTCTAAATAGCAAACTTTGATCATATTTGCGAAGAATGTAGTGCTCTTGTGCTATTCCCAGCTGTGCTGCCCTGATTAGTGCTTTATTCATTCTTCCAGCAAGGCACTGAATCTTTTTTCTCCAATCTAGTTTCTCCAGTTGTATTGGAATATAACTTCCATCATCTCTAGCTGACATGTCTGTGCCATGAAAACATTGGGAAAGGCTATCTAATGAATGGTTGGACAGTGTCACTGAAGCTACCAACATGAATTTGACCAAACTCGTGGAGGCACTGGAAGACAGGAGGGCCTGGCGTGCTCTGGTCCATGGGATCATGAAGAGTCAGACACAACTTAATGACTAAGCAACAACAGCAACAATCTAAAGAATGTTTTTAAAACTTTAAACTCAGACTAGGCCCTGGTCTTACTGTGTTATATATATGAAATTTAGTTGAATTTCCATTGATTTTATGGAGGTATACATCTGCCAGAATTGTTCAGGAATGGTTTGAGGAACATGAAAAAGAATTCTAAGTGTTGCTTTGGCTTCCAAATTCCCTGGCTCTCAATCAGACTGAGCATTTATGGGATGTGCTAGTCATTTCATTTAGTCATTTAGTCATTCCGACTATTCGTGGCCCCATGGACCAGTACATGCCAGGCCCTCCTATCTTCCACTGCTTCCTGTAGTTGTGTCAATTTCATGTTGGTTGCTTCGCAGACACTGTCCAGCCATCTCATCCTCTGTCGTCCCCTTCTCCTCTTGCCTTCACACTTTCCTAACATCAGGGTCTTTTCCAGGGAGTTTTTTCTTCTCATGAGATGGCCACAGTATTGGAGCCTCAGCTTCAGGATCTGTCCTTCCAGTGAACACTCAGGGTTGATTTCCTTTAGAACTGATAGGTTTGTTCTCCTTGCAGTCCAGGGGATTCTCAAGAGCCTCCTCCAGCACCACAATTCAAAGGCATCAATTCTTCGGCAGTCTGCTTTCTTTATGGTCCAGCTCTCACTTCCATACATCATGACAGGAAAAACCATAGCTTTAACTATTCGGACTTCTGTTGGCAAGGTGATGTCTCTAGGGATCTGGGATGTGCTAGATAGAACACCAAATCCAGTCCATGGGAGCCCCACGTTGGACAGTGTCACTGAAGCTACCAACATGAATTTGACCAAACTCGTGGAGGCACTGGAAGACAGGAGGGCCTGGCGTGCTCTGGTCCATGGGATCATGAAGAGTCAGACACAACTTAATGACTAAGCAACAACAGCAACAATCTAAAGAATGTTTTTAAAACTTTAAACTCAGACTAGGCCCTGGTCTTACTGTGTTATATATATGAAATTTAGTTGAATTTCCATTGATTTTAGGGAGGTATACATCTGCCAGAATTGTTCAGGAATGGTTTGAGGAACATGAAAAAGAATTCTAAGTGTTGCTTTGGCTTCCAAATTCCCTGGCTCTCAATCAGACTGAGCATTTATGGGATGTGCTAGTCATTTCATTTAGTCATTTAGTCATTCCGACTATTCGTGGTTTGCTGGCGTACAAGATGACTTTTTGGCCCTGAAAAACATGCCTCCAAGTGGGGGGGGGGTCGTCTTATACGCCCAGTCGCTTTATACGCTGGCAAATACAGTACAATTGACACTAAGCAATAGAATTTCAGCCACAGTATGCTAATTTTTGGTAAGAGTTCAATGAATAGCTTTTACTTTCTAAATAGCAAACTTTGATCATATTTGCGAAGAATGTAGTGCTCTTGTGCTATTCCCAGCTGTGCTGCCCTGATTAGTGCTTTATTCATTCTTCCAGCAAGGCACTGAATCTTTTTTCTCCAATCTAGTTTCTCCAGTTGTATTGGAATATAACTTCCATCATCTCTAGCTAACATGTCTGTGCCATGAAAACATTGGGAAAGGCTATCTAATGAATGGTTGGACAGTGTCACTGAAGCTACCAACATGAATTTGACCAAACTTGGGGAGGCACTGGAAGACAGGAGGGCCTGGCGTGCTCTGGTTAATGGGATCACAAAGAGTCAGACACAACTTAATAACTAAACAACAACAGCAACAATCTAAAGAATGTCTTTAAAACTTTAAACTCAGACTAGGCCCTGGTCTTACTGTGTTATATATATGAAATTTAGTTGAATTTCCATTGATTTTAGGGAGGTATACATCTGCCAGAATTGTTCAGGAATGGTTTGAGGAACATGAAAAAGAATTCAAAGTGTTGCTTTGGCTTCCAAATCCCCTGGCTCTCAATCAGACTGAGCATTTATGGAATGTGAGATAGAACACCAAATCCAGTCCATGGGAGCCCCACGTTGCAACTTGCAGGACTTAAAGGACCTACTGCTAATGTCTTGGTGCCAGATACTACAGCACATGTTCTTGTGGAGTTCATGCATCAGAGTTGTTTTGGCAACATGAGGGGGACCTACACTATATTAAGCAGTTGGTTTTAATGTGACATATCAGTGTATCTGCTCAGTTGTGAAGGTCCATGGAAGCACCTCTCCCCAACCTTCTCCCTTTCCATGCAACAGGTTGCAAATAATTAAATTCAGTAACCACGTGCCTCCTACATAGAGACACACAATAGAGCAAAATTAAAGTGATCTAACCATCTACTGTTAATGTTATAATAATATATGTATTCATGGGATATATTGTCAAATGGCTACACAATAGGAGAAATCCTATTATGATATAAAGAGGGTGGGACGAGGCAAGAATTGATCCCTTCCTTTTTGAAACTTCTTATTTTTTACCCAAGGTTATCATGATAGCAACTCTATGATTACAGCCCTTGCCATTTGCACTAGATAAATTTTTTTAAAATTGAATTTAGATGTTTGACATATCAATGTAGCATTTACTCAATAAAATGAGTTCTACATCTGATAGGTAGCCACCAAAAGATATTGGCTGCCAAGCCATTTTTAACCCACTTTGGAGAGGTCTAAGGGGTGAGCTTGTAGCTCATTGATTGAGCACCTGCTTTGTATGTAGAAAGACATAGGGTAATTACTGGTCTCTGGGTAGGAACCAATATACTGTGCTGACAGCAGTATTCAGCATTCCACATAGGGTAATTACTGGTCTCTGGGTAGGCGCCAATATACTGTGCTGACAGCAGGATTCAGCATTCTGTAAGCCTACTGAAGAAATAGGGATGCCCCAAACAGACAAAAAATAACTATAAAACCGGACCTTAGATCAGCACCACATTTGGTACAGATTTAGCAGAAACTCTGCTCTTGCTCTGTGCATGTGGCATTTGGAGACATTTGGGAAAAGGGATTTTGAGTTATAATTTCTCTCCTTTTTTTCTCTGTCTATGGCTATGAAATAAAACATTTAATTCCTTCCTGACAAAACATTAAACTCCTTTCTGTGAAAATATTTTTAAAGATTTTTTTTAAAATAGAGTATAATATTCACACTTGTTGAAAAACAGCCTTGACAATTGCTTCATGTGTGAGAAGTGGCTAACTGAATTAAAAAGGAGTCAGCTTCTGGGATTTCCCCTTGCATGGTGTCACTTTGTGAATGGTAGTGAGCACAAGAGGATATGCTGTAAACTATCTTGACTGTTGCTATTGGTATTATCAATATTCAGACTGCCTTTTGCTTTGGAAAGCTTGTTATCCTTTTTCCTGCTGGCACCAGGAGCACAATATGGTGAATCAGTATCCTGGCTTATTGAATCATGGGTACAGAAGCACAATATCCCACATTCATAAACCAGAGGCTTTTTGAAGATTTGTATTAGAGACCAGTGGTTCTCAGTTTTAAGGCTGTACATATTCTTGTACTATAATTCCCAGAAACTCTGATCATTAGCTACACTGGTGAGAGTCTTCTGGCAATTACAATCCAAGAACATTTTGGGCCTTTCTGCCCAGGAAGATTTCTAAAATGATTTACAACAGAGACTGTTGTAGATGCTAAACAGACCAATAGTCAGTATAAGACAGCTTTCTGAGAGTTGTTTTCTGCTGATTCATCGTAGTATTTAGTAGGAAGGCAGAACAGAGTTTATTACCAGAGGCTGGAGGAAGACGAAACATTTGGGTATAAACTGACTTCTTTAAAATGTCCCATACTAAATTCTGGGTGAACAGAGCTCCTAGATTACAGATGTCTTGTTTGCAAGGACTCAGTTGAATGCTAAATGTTCTTTTTCACATTATCTTTTGCAGCTCCCACTCCTCCCAGTTGTCCTCCTGGAGAGACCTGGTGGCCAGGCCCGGTAATAATTATTGCAGCATGCTGCACCACACCAGTGCTCCTGTTTCTAGTTTTCATCATTTGCTACAAAGCCATAAAAAGGTAAGATTGTGCAAGCATATTCCAGAGCTGCAAGATGAGGTCTCTTGTAGAAGTGCTACTATTCAGATACCAAACTGTTATGGATGCTACAAATTGCTAGAAAGGACAGTCAACATTTTGAATCCTAGCAGTGCTGTATAAATGTGAAAGAACCAGTGCCTTTGCTGCTACTTCTCCAGCAATCTCCACTATCTCTCTCCTTCCTTTCCCTATCTTTCTTGGTCTGTCCTTTTTGTATTATATGAAACGACGGTCCTAAGGGAGTTTCATTTAGCTGCATCTGTGGACATGTAAGATCATGTGATGTTTTAGCCCTATTTAAGTGTTAGAAAGGCTGATGCTATGCATTAGCCCAACTCCCTCCATCAGTGTGTAGACATCCATCAGTCTCAAGAGACTATGGTAACGTGCTCTGAATAGAGGTCTTGGAACAGCGTCTGGTGTGGCTGAGAAGGCCAGTTGGAGAGTGACAATCCCTTCCACGCTGAAGACAAATATCTGTCCCCTGTCCAGCTCCCTGATTTTGCTGGTTTTGGGACTGCCTCTTTGCCTTGGCCTGCTGGACGAGTGTCTCTTCAAAATGTGAGAGGCCATGCTGTGCCGTCTGCCTCCAGGCTGAGCATTCAGATGTCAAGGTTTGCCATCAGTTGAGGTCCATCCCTAAAGGCAGATATCTTTGTATCACAGCTGTGGTCTCCCTCTGGGGTGCCTTCCCT